TAATTAGTGATGCAAATGGATTCAGATGAGTGCATTTCAATGTGTGTATGATTGCTTGGAATCTACCAATTAATTCTTTTCTACAATGTTAGATATTTACTTCAAACCTTTTTGCTAACTGGTAGATAGTTACACAAAACTTTTTTCTATTACAATTAGATATTTTTTGTCACTAGCTTTATTACACTGATGCCTGAGCACACAATGAAGCAGTCGAGCAGGCCCTCAGCTCAAAACCTCCCACGTAAATAGGCATAGGCTGGCTGTAGAATGTCTGCATGCATTTGCATGGTTGCATTTCCTGATTTGTACTATGTTTTATTTAGGTAACTTTGAGTACAAACACAATTAGAAGGGATTTTGTGGGAGTGATTATAGTAAGGAGGAGAGAGAAGTGAAAGAAATGGGATTGACTCCTTTTTCTCATCATAGTTGAGAGGAATGAGGAGGTAGCTAGAGACCATAGGATGTAGTATACCTTATAGTGACTTGTATTAGTTTAAAGTAATGAAGATGAGTGTTTCTTGTGCTAATATAACACTTTGCTATAGTCTTCTCTTTTCTGAAGACTCCTTCAGTTGTTTCTTTTGACAGTAGCTCGTGTTTAAAAATGTTTGTGGGCGAGGCAAAAGCTGTGTAGGTGCTCTTGAGACCAGGGTTTGTAAAATTGCCATATATGCAAAGTGAGATATGTTGTTTTTTTTCAGTCCATTTCATGTAGTTCAAGGAAGTGAAATAGATAATTATAATTATAATTGAATATGGGATTAAAAAATATATATATATTTGTTTATCTTATTAAAGTCTTTGTCACTAGTAAGGGAATGAAATCTTACAAACCAGTCAAATATGATTATGTTTTAGATTTATTCAGTTTATTATAAACTTTTCTTTAGCTAAATGACAGGAATTTTTATTTCTATATTTTTAGAAAAGAAGAAAAAGGGTGGTGAATGCAATATCAATATTCAATATTCAAATAGAAGAAACAAATACTGACATTTTTTATTTTATTTTGGAAACCATTGCTTATGCAGCTAACGTTTCAGTGTTGTTCATTGAAAAGATCTTGTTAATGCTAGACCAGATGAATCACAACCTCAGTTGATGCCAGGGAAGGCAGAACCCTTCTCTTGAGTTGCGTACGTCATTCACTATGCATGTTTTGTTGATATGGCACAGGTTTAAGGTTGAGGTGATTTATTTTTAAGGTGGTAATAGTGTTTAGCTCATGTCACTGTTGGGTGTCTAAATAAAGAGAAAGATGTACCCTCAGATTTGTGATGACTGAGAAGAATTTGCTAATTGGCTCCTTTGTTAATGTCATGTACTGTACATGTGGGTAAACTACAATGTATATATATACATATATATATATACACATATATATACACACATATATATATATATATATATATATATATATATATATATATATATATATATATATATATATATATATACACACATACATATATATATACATACATATACATATACTTGCACATACATGTATGTGTGTGTGTGTATAGATATTTGCATATATAACACACACACACATGTACACGCACACGCACATGCACATGTACACACACACACACACACACACACACACACACACACACACACACACACACACACACACACACACACACACACACACACACACACACACACACACACACACAATACATTTACACATGCATATGAATATGCAAGTACATATATACAGTTTATATATATGCATAATATACTGAATATATGTGTGTATATTTCTATATATGTATACATATATATGTATATATCTATATATGTATACATATATTTATATATGTATATATCTATATATGTATACATATATTTATATATGTATATATCTATATATGTATGTATATATTTATATATGTATATATCTATATATGTATATATATATTTATGTACAGTTATCACTCATAGAAAGTTGTTCATGTTTCTAGTAAAAAAAATAAATAAAAATAAGATGGAAAGATGAATTCTTTGTTGTCCTTTGACATGTAAGAAAAATGTTTCATTAGTCTAATTTGTTATATAAATGTATTTTGTTGTGTGTATGTAAATGAAACACACGCACCAGAACTTGCACACAGCTCGCTTGTTCACTCACATGCATACAAATTAAAAAAAAAGAAAAGATTGATTTTAGAACCATGCCCTGTGTTTATTTTTTTACATATTGTATTTGTAATCAACAATGGATGGATGGAAAGTATATGAAAAGAAAAAAAAAGAGAGAGAGAAGAATTGGCTAATATAGACATATATTTGCAAAGTGTTATCAGATTTAAGAGAGAAAGGAAATATAAGAATTTTTAAGAGAAACAGTCAAATTAGAATCATAATTTCTTGAAATGATCTAAAAATTAATTGCTATGTAACTGCATATCGTCATGAAAATCCTTCTTTTCATATTTTACACTTATTAATCTTTAACACCTTAGAGGAGTAAATGAAATGCCTCTCACCATATTTCCTCTTCACTTTTGATAATTGAGTGGAGTACTTTCGACCGACCAACACACAGTAGTGCTGTACCTTGTCTGCCTCATAGTGTACCTGGACAAAACTCGTGACTTTGGTTTATTCCCAATTGAAGTTCTACCTTTTTTTAATTTTTACGTACTTACTGCTTTGTGCTTACCCCTTCTACCTTGAATTGTACAGTGTGATAACCTGCATAATGATTTTGTTTTTGATTATGTAATTTTATTTTTTATTATTATTTTTTTTTCAACTATATTGTGAAATGTTCTGAAATGATTAATTGCTTTTTTTTTTAACTTTGTTTTCTTTTGCTATTTATATTTGAATTGTGTGATATAATTTATTATTTTTCTGAACTTTCTTTATATCTAATCTTTTACTCAGATTTTAAATGTTTTGTTGATCAGTTTGTTAAGTATTTTGGCAAAAATGCATAATTCAGTATAATTTAGAAGTTGAAAAGATATAAATTTTTATAATGAAGAAAATACCCCTCTTCACATTTCTTTTAATATTGTAAATTTTGCAAAGTTAGATTTTTTTTTTAAAGATAAAAAGAAATGAAAAGATGAACAAAGAAACAGTACTACCTTAAGATATCTTTATGTAATATTTTTGTTTTTTTTAACTTGAGAAATAATAATAATTCAAAACAGAATAAACTCCGTCACAAGAAGAACAGAGCAGCCAATATCATGGGCTGGTAATCCTTTACTTTACAGGACTGCAGGATTGGAAGGAACGCCCAGGACGCTCTCATCACAGTCCCCTCGCACTACTAAGCCCTCATCCCCCTCACAGTATTCATTGTCTTCATCAGCAAAAATTCCTCACACTTGCATCGGATTTTGGTGAGAGGAGGAATCTTCTCACTGTCCTAGTATCATCTGCATCGGCTCTTGGTAAAAAACTCTTAGAAAATTAGGAGGATAGTCTTAGCTGAAGTTAGAGGAGGAGGACTTTAGCTATTTCTTGTTGTTGGTCTTTGGGGAAAGGGATGGACTCTTTCTTACCTGTCTTGGCTTTAGGTAGGGGTAGAAGGGGAGAGTTGTGGTAGTGGCTGCAGTGAACACTTTGAAAGGTGTTGATTCAGATGCACATCAATGTATCACTTTTGCAAAAGTCCACGTGGTTGGATTATGCATGGCTAAAATAGTTCCTGTTATTGTTCATGTGAGCACAAATGTAAAAAGATAAAGGTAAAAGCAATAATTGTTACATTATTAGCCAGTGCAGAAAAATGTAAGAAAGGTGATGCATGTAGTTTTACTTTTTTTGCTTTTTTTTTATTATAATTTTTTTAAAAGAGTAAACTCACCTTTAGATTTTATAACCATCTTTACATATATATTTTTCCTTGTTACTAGTTGCTTAAGTGATGCAAAGAAAAATATTGATGACGGCAGATTGACACTGGTGGCACATTTACAAAGTGATTTTTGGGGATATTCTTAAGAATTTTACATTGCAGTAGATGATTGAAGTATCTTATTAGCTGCTGTACCAAAAGGCTTCCATATTACAAGTTTAAGGTATGCCATAAAATCCAGTATATATAATTTTATAAGCAGTTATGTTGGAAACCTTTGTGTGTGTGATGTCTGGATGTACCACATAACACTTAACATAAAAAAATAGGTCATGTAGAACAGAAATTAAAAGGAGTCTGTATATTTAAGGCACATATGCATTGTAAATCATTTTTGATTTTATGCAGTTGAGTATGTTTTATCAAAGTAGGAAGGTGTGTAACATTTTTGAAGGTTTGAGTAAATGTAGCACATCGCAGACAGAGAAGCAGCACAGCACTAGCTATGTTCTTGTGTATGAATGTACATTATATTATATCATATTTTAATATATATATTTATACACAAGTTCCTAGAATACTGATAGTGGTTTCTCTCACACTCTTAGTATTTCCCCATTTTCCTCCTTTTTATATTCATAGTCTGTGGTATTTTATTATTTATGCTATAGTTCTATTCTTTAAAACTGACAGTGTTCTTGAGGTAGACTAGATTGTGGGGATTTGAAAACATCTTGTACTCCAATGTATGTTCTCTTTTAGTAGAAGTACATCTCTGTAGCACAACAAGTGTTTGTGTGATATCAGTTATTTATTGTATTAAGAAGCTATTCTATAATTACAGCCATTTTCTTTAGTGTATTCTAATTATTGGGCTGTTTCTTCTTCAAAAATGATAAGTGTTTTAACATACACATTATTATACTTAACAAAAATAATGACAAAACATTGCACAATGCAATTAGATTAAGGTTGAAAAGATGGAAGGCAATTCAGAGTAAGTTTTTGCATTCAAATTGTCTAGTGTACATCTTTTAATATATTTTTTTCCTGCTCTTTTTTCATAAAGTTTTCTATGTGTTTTTATTAGGCCAAAATATTTTAAGCAAATTATATTTCATAACCTTTCAATCAATATACTTTAGTGAATGAAAAGATTTTGAAGCCATTATTAGGCTATTGTTTTGTCTTGCATATTTACACACAATGAAATTACATTCACAGAATATGAAAATCGCATTTGTAAAGGCCTGTCCACAAAGCAGGCTTGATTGAGGGGCACATAAGTGGACGCCTGTATAGGTAACGTCACAGAAAAAACAGGGAAACTACTTGTTTACTAAATAGTGTCCCTTGCTATGACATCCTCTCAGCTTATGCCTGCCCTTGATATGCCAATATGTATCTGCTTGAGTGGAAAGGCCTTTAGGATGGACAGAATTTATTGTGATAATTATAGAAAATGTATAAAGAGATTGAATACCTATAGAGAGAAGTAACATCTCTTGCTTTCATACTTTTTCTACATTTCTAAGGGTACAAAAATCACAGAAAATTTGGCCACCTAATACTGCAAATTTCTGTTTATGTAATGAGAAATAAATATGCATATTATAACAGTTGCTTTTTTATAAGTGGGCTTTTTGATTTTTAAACATGTTCTCTGATATTTTATATTATAATCAGTTTCGTTTGATTAAGATATAAATATTGTGTTTACTGATGGGCACTGCAGGCAGACGTTGGTTCTATGATCTCAGTGTAATGTGATTTTTATATACTTTAAATTTCTAACATAAAGCTAAGATACCTAGCTTAAAAAAAATTGCAGTGTAAACTTGATGCAAAATACTAAGCTGCCTATTTGGCCTGTTATTTTTATTGGCAAAAAATGTTGGTGATACACATTTTTTTTATTTTTTTTTTATTATATAACAGCTGTATGGTAAGTGGAAACAGTTTTAGGTATACAAAAAAATATGTGAATGTAAGTAGTAGACCTGAACTATTTACCTTAACATGTAAAATTATAACATTTTCCTTCTCAAGCAGAAGTATCATTAGCTAATCAGGAATGTGTTGTCTTGCATTGGACCAAATAAATTGCAAGATAAAATTCACTGGGATTATGTGACTGCATTCACAATACTTTTTAACAGATCTAATGTTTTAATAGATCTTTTGATAGTTAAGAGTATGTCAATGTTCATGGAATTCTTGGAAGTAGAACAAGGAAATTGCAGCTAAATGTCTCTTATAATGAAGGATCAGATAACACTGGCATAATTATCATATCTATTTATTTTTATTACCACAAATTGATACTGTATATAAAGAACTTTTATGAATTTATTATTCAGAATGATATATTAGGATAAGATTTTTTTCTTCTTTTTTTCCCCCCTCTCCTTATTATAGAATTTATAACTAGCTATAATTATATTTCTGCTGAGTTCAGGGTGTGGTGTTTAACATTAGTATTAGCTTGGCTGGTATGTTATATGTAAAGAGTTTACACTACTGTATTTAATGATGAAAGAAACAAATTTGGCTCTTGTCATAAATGAATAGATTATTCTGTGTTCTAAAGCCCATCTTTCAAGGAATTTTGACCATTTACACATTGAATTTCATTGAGTCACAACACTTTGGCATGTAAAGATATGTTCTTAAATTTCAAATATCACATTCCAGAAGTATAAGTGCCTTCTTGTAATATTTTTTTTTATGGTTTAAAAAACAAATCTGCAGAAATGGTCTTGCAGGCAAAAGAATAAAAAAAAAAACTACTCATCAGAAACTAAACATTTTCTTATATATACACATAATAGGATAAGCAGTTATGATTTAGAGTAAGGAAATGATAGTTAAAAGCAAATCTGTGTCAAAACCCCACAATATATATATAAATATATATATATATATATATATATATATATATATATATATATATAAATAATATATATAATTTATATATGATTTATATATGATTTATATATATATATATATATATATATATATATATATATATATATATATATATATATATATATATATATATATATATAATATATACAATTTATATATGATTTATATATATATATATATATATATATATATATATATATATATATATATATATATATATATATATATATATATAATATATATAATTTATATATGATTTATATATATATATATATATATATATATATATATATAATATATATAATTTATATATGATTATATATATATATATATATATATATATATATATATATATATATATATATATATATATATATATATATATATATATATATATATATATATATATATATATATATATATATATATATATATATATATAATTATATATATATATATATATATATATATATATATATATATATATATATATATATATATATATATATATATATATATAATTTATATATATATATATATATATATATATATATATATATATAATTTATATATATATATAATTTAATTTATATATATATATATATATATATATATATATATATATATATATATATATATATATATATATATATATATATATATATATATATATATATATATATATATATGATTGTATGGAGGATTTATTTTATTTTTAAATATGTGATATTTATTTGTTGACT